ATAACACTGGATTTGTGACAGGAACTGTGCCTTATAAGATATACACATTTTCTTGAAATAACGGAACAATAATTAATAGTCAGGGATTCTGAATTAGACCACAATACTGTGTTTAGAAGGCTGCCGAAACACATTTTAATATCATAAAATGATATGAATGTTTATTATTTCTTTACCATCAGCACAAAGAGTGGCTATTTCTATTTAGTTAAAGTTATTCTTAATGCCTGCAGCAAGGTTCAATTTGCAGATTCCCCTTGAAATCAATGAAACAAGGCAGTAGAAACTGACAGAATCGAACCAAAATCAGACAAGACAGGGATCCTCCATAGGGTAAATTGAAAATGAAAGTTCCTTTAAGGTGTTTTAACTACTTGAAATAGATTTGACTGACCAGCTTGAATCTAAGAGTTTATAACAGAAGTATAAACATGCTACTGTACCATCAGGTCAGGGTAAGTAGCGAGCTTCTGGCCAATGAGGGCAGCATTCCCTCCCACATACAGCTGGAAGAAGACAAAAGTAAAGTTTACCAGGAGGGAGATCATTAAAAAATGACATAATAAAACAACAAAGTATTCGTCCTCTGAGAAGGTTTGGGGAGTGAGGTAGCCTTGCCTTCGCCCCGGGGTACTCCGCAGCTGCACGGGCAATCCTCTGAAAGACCTCCTTGTCGCTGAAGAAGCGCTCGGCAGCTGCTCCGCGCTCCATGTAATGGATGAAGGCTTCCTTCAAGTCCTCTTTGGAGTGCAACACTTCGTGATCCAGGCCGGTGCCAGGATCCACAGCCAGCGCCTGCAGCAGTCCCACTCCTGAGACGACCACATCGACACAGGCATTCACCCTTTACCAGAGAGGACATATAGACAGTTTGGAAGAGACACAGAGTATAGGTTATTTGATAGTTAATAATAACTTAATAATCATTATACACTTGTCTTTTGTCCCTGTGAAATATATGTCAAAAAGAGGGAGGGATAGGTAGAGACCAACAGTCCTCTACAGCTCCATATCTAAATTCTGTTTATCTTTGAAGTATTTTACATTATGGAAGATAAAGATGCCTTAACAGCCATTCCACGGTGACTTAACAAGTAACTTCAGTTGTTGTATTAAAGAGACATAAACCATTCCTAAACAATACACCTTCCCTTCACTCCTTGGTAGAAACAGTCTCTCCAACCCTCTGGTAGGCTGTCCCTTAGGTCCAGCCAATCACCATATTCCACCTTTTAAAAACTCTGATCAAGTGTGTTGGCTATTCTAAAACAGCCTAAAAGGTAAGTCATTTAATTCACTGGGGTAACACCCTCTTGGACCCAGCCATCTGAGCCGGGACTGAGTCACGACTATAACACATTCCTTCTCACAGGCAGAGCTGTATACAGCCTCTCAAACATGCCACAGTCTGCTGTAGAGCGCCTGCAGGAGCACAGACGCAGCAATAAATATCCACTCCAGGTGACATGCGTCTAGTTCTCACAGTAACTTTATAACTCACCCTACTGCCACTTTGCTCCACTGTCGGGTCGGTAGAGTTATCAGATTCTCCCAGGCAGCGGAGATCACCTGCTCCAGGCTGTTTTGGCTGTTCTGGCTCTGATATGATTGCTGAAAGTTTGGCAGGCTGATATACTGCAGAATCTGCTCTGGCAGGTCTGGGCTGCCATTGTAGAAATAGCCAACAGCTAACGCCAGCAGGGCCGCTGCTGAAGCCTTCCTCCACATGATGCTCCCACACACTCCTACAGCGAAGGAAATCAGTCAGTTCTCTCTCATATCAACCGTTAGCATTCAAAAGTGATCAACTTATTGACCGGCAATTAAAGAGCTGCACAGCAATGTTCAGTGTTCAAACACTTGACACACACGACTGTGTTCCACTGTTCTTGATTACACAAGAACAAACTCATCATATGTGTAAAAGAAAACCTCATTTTGTTTGTCTAAACTTGGAATAATTAACTAATTTTAAGAAGGATGACATCACATTGGCATATGATTTGGCTAATGATTAGATTGAGGAGATAATTAAAATTAATCATCAACTACTGATATTTGAATATTTTGAATTGAGTATTTTGTAAGAAATTATGCAAAAAACTTAATAGTTTCAGGTTCTTAAATGGGAGAATTTTCTACTTTTCTTGTTCTTACATCATAGTAAATTAAATATGTACCGTAAATCGGTCAAAAAAAAAAAGAAAATACATTTGATGATGTCACCCTGTGTCCTCGGATTATGTAATGGCTATGATTTCGTTTTCTGGTGTTTTATACACCAAGAGATTCAACGAAACAATAGTTGGCAGATTATTCGATAATGAAAATAAACATTAGTTGCAGTCCTGCTTGAATCAGTAAATAGGGAAGTGTTTAGCCCAGAGGGGCTAAGCCCACCCACAATCCTGATTTCATTCTTCCTCTCTTCTCTCTCACACTCTCGCTGTTTCACTCTGCTCTCAAACTACCCACTGCTCTCTCCCAATAACCACTCAGAAAACTGCGCGTGCCACACACCCACCACCACCGCCCACACGCGCTCTGGGCGACACAATCATCCACGCCCCCCAGGCGTCCTAGATCCAGTCGTTCTCCATCACACATCCTCACCGCGCGCTCCCCACGCCCACTCTTCGTCCACAGCTCACCCAAGAACAGACGACAGCTCAACCGCCTCACATCTGTGACCTTGCGCACACGACGCCCATGTCCGCATCTTCTCGGCTGCGCGGCACAACGACTTACATGCCATCACTCAGGTACGCAAACAACCACTCGACAAGACAAACAACCAGCGAAACACATTTCTCATGATTTGACACTAAACTGAATCCTACTGTACACGGATCCCCCCAAACATGATGAATGAGGTTAGAAGACCGAATGTACAACGTTCAATAGAGCTCCTAATCTGTACAAAACCAACATGTCACTACCTCCAACTCTCCTTGCAGATAATCTTCACTGTCTTTTGCTCAGTGGGCTGACAATTTTACACCTGGATGAGCAGTGGCATGTTCAACAAGTTTCAGTCTCTGCTACCGGTAGCGGAAACCACCAGCGAGAACGTCTCTGCCACTCGCACGACGCCTGCACGTCGTCCGCTGCTTCTCATGCGCTAGCCCGAGCCCCGGCGTTTACCCAGGCTTTAGCGCACTGGACCACACACCACACCACGACGCACACAGACCGCAACCACCACAACCAACGCCACACACGCTAACACGCACCACGACGAGAGACGCGCAGGCTCAGTTGTTTGGCTGCAGTTCTATCAAAGCTAATTTGCCACACAAGCTAGCCCCTTGTAGCAGCGCGCTTCACGCCGCACGACGCTTTATTTCAGCTGCCAGCCGATAACTGTAACACACGTCCATTAACAGCTCGAAGTTTACCCAAGCGAAGCGCCACCAACACAGCTTCTCGCGCATAGAAAGAATAGGCTAGCCGCAGCCTACACCCGCATACATCCGCTCGCGCGGCACTTCACACGCTCGCTTACTCGTCTCTGCTTCTGCTTTTTTTCTCTGAACGATGCCGCAGCGCGGCGCGCGCTCTCGTCTGCCTCGCGGTACACATCACTAAAGCACATTTTATCTGGCGCTCCCTACGCCGCGCGGCGGACGCGGCCGGCACGAGAGCCATGCGTCCGCACGGAAGAGTCATCCTGCGACGCGACCGACAGATCGATTCGGGACGAGACCAGAGCTGGACGCCCCCGCGCAGCAACCAGCACGCAGCGCGCTTCCGCTTACGCGCGCGATCCGCTACGCAGGGCGGGCGCACGGATTCGAGGCGAGACGTCATGACCCGCCCTACTCGGGCTCTGATTGGTTAGTAGCTCAAGGGGTTTGGTTGGTCAGCTTTAGACGAGCCAATCAGAGGCCGAGTAGCGCCGTGTCTTTCCGCAAGGCACAACGGTGGACTCGCCCACCGAGTCCGGGTACATTCATGGTACAGAGTGTGAAGAGGCAGAGCCTGACAGCGCTAACAATGGCGTTTAAATACCAAGAAATTACACATAAAGGCCCAAAAGTTCTCATCCATTCACAATACACTCCTGTCGTCTTCAACATGCGTCCATTTCACTTCTGAATTCATGGAAATCATTAGGTGTAAGTTAATGATCCTGGTGACTTCTTTTAAGTCACTTTTCAAAACTTATCTATTAGATATTTATAAAAAAAGCTTTTCATTAATGCTAGCATGCCATCATCCCACTGCAGAAGAAGAGAGCA